AACTCCACTTCTTGGATCTTTTCTTCTATTTATCCTAGTCCCTTGTGCAGCAACAGGAAAACCCTGTGGTCTAAGCTCAAAAGTTTTGTTGATTCTCACCAATCCCCCTGGCTTATGATGGGAGACTTCAATGAAATTTTAACAAGCTTAGATAAGGTAGGTGGTAGACCCATTAACACCCATAGATCCCTCCGCTTTCAAGACTGCATTAATCATTGTGGCTTCGTCGACTTGGGCTTTTCTGGACCAAGATTCACATGGTCAAATCTTAGAGCTGTGGGTAGCCTCATACGGGAATGTCTTGACAGACGTTGGAGTAGCAACAATTGGCACACCCTATATCCCAATACCCATGTTCTACACCTCCCCCGATTCCACTTTGACCACTGTCCTGTCCTTCTTGACACCAACCCTTATCTCCACCTCAAACACCTCCCGGCCTTTCCATTTTGAAACAATTTGTCTCTCGGACCCTTCCTTTTTCAGCGTCGTAGATAGTTGCTGGCAACCTCGTGAAACCCCCTTCAAGTTTGGTGCCGACCTTTTCACAGACCAAATTAAAACCTGGAACAAAGAGGTGTTTGGCAACCTATTTTTTCGGAAAAAAAAGCTTGTTGCCTGCCTTCTTGATACCCAATGGGCTCTTAAATCCCACTCATTTCCCTTCCTCTTCAACTTAGAACTCACTCTCACCCAAGAATACCATAGCCTTCTCAAATTAGAAGAAGATTTTTGGGCCCTTAAGTCCCGCGTCAATTACACCCTGGATGGTGACCGCAACACTAGATTCTTCCGCCTCACTACTTTATCTCGTTGTCGTCACAATAAAATCCTCGCAATCAAGGACCCGAATGATCACTGGATATTTGATTTAGCTTCCATCAAGAAAATCTTTGTTGACCACTTCTCTAACCTGTTTCACTCTAGTCTCTGCTTTGCACCCTTGTCTCTGTCCCTTGACTTAACCCTCCCTATCATTCAGTCCGACCACCACCCCTGCCTCTCGGCGATTCCTTCCATGCTGGAAGTCAAACAAGCCCTCTGGACTTTGAAACCTCTCAAGGCCCCAGGCCCCGATGGACTTCACCCCATCTTCTTTCAGAAATGCTGGAAGACTGTCAAAGTTTCAGTCTATAATTTTATTGTTGACTTTTTGTCTACCGGCAAACTTAACCCTCTTTTAACCGAACCTTTATTTGCTTGATTCCTAAAACGGAACAACGAGAGTTGGTGACCCATTTTCATCCCATTGGCCTTTGTAACACCATCTACAAAATCATTTCAAAAATCCTGGTGAATAGACTAAGACCTTTCCTGAATGATCTCATTAGTCCGTTCCAATCCAGCTTTCTTTTGGGCCGCAAGAGCACGGACAATGTCATCATCCTCCAAGAAGTGGTTAATAACTTCAAACACAAAGAAGGTCATGAAGGCAATATTCTTATCAAATTGGACCTTGACAAAGCTTACAACCGCCTTGAATGGAGTTTCATTAGACTAATGCTCACCAAATTCAACTTTCCCACCCACTGGATCAAGCTTATTCTTTCTTGTATTTCCTCCACGGAATTTGCCATCATTTTCAACGGTGATCTCACTGAAACTTTCACTCCGTCTAGGGGCATTCGTCAAAGGGACCCTCTTTCTCCATATCTCTTTATCCTTTGCTTGGAATATCAAGCTTCCACCATTTCTCAAGCTTGCACGGACAAATCTTGGAAACCTATCAAAATTGCCAACAATTACCCCTGCCTCTCCTACCTCTTCTTTGCGGATGACATCATTTTGTTCGGAGAAGTGACCGAAAATAACTGCATCACGATGAAGACCATTTTGGATGATTTTTGCACCATTTCGGGCCAAAAAAATAGTACATCCAAATCAAAAATTTTCTTCTCTAATAATGTGGACCAATCCCACCGCAATCACCTGGCTAACATCCTCCATTTTCCTGTCTCCCAAAATATTGGCAAATATTTGGGTTGTCCTATCCTCCAAGAGCGACCCAACCAGGCCACTTTCAGATTCATCATTAAAAAAATCCAAAAAAAGCTTTATGGCTGGAAAGCTAAGACCCTCTCCCTCGCAGGTAGAAACACCCTCATTCGGACCGTTACTTTAGCTATCCCAGCTTATGTAATGCAATGTCACTCTCTTCCCAAATTAGTCACCAACCACATTGATAAACTCAACAGGGATTTCTTGTGGGGCTCATCTCCCAATCACCAAAAAATACATGCCATCAATTGGAATGAAGTCACCAAACCTACAAACCTAAAAGGTCTAGGTATTCGCCAATCTCACCTTTCCAACCAAATTGCCATGGCCAAACTCAATTGGCGATTTCATTCGGACAAGGAAGCCCTTTGGACCAAAATTCTCAGTGCTAAATACTCCATGGAAACTAAAATCTCGAGTAGGCATTCCCATGCGTGGCGCAGTATTAGGAAAGGTAAAGAGTTATTCGATGAGGGCTCGTGTAAACTAGTCAAAACTAGTAGCCACACTTCATTTTGGTTTGATAATTGGCTAGGAGTGGAGAGCATCCGCAGTCACATACAAGGCCCCCTTACCCTTAGAGAGTTGGGCCTCAAAGTAAAGGACTGTTGGGTTGACCACCATTGGAACTTTGATTGCCTCTCCACCACCCTCCCCAACCTTATTAAATCCAAAATCGAGAGCACCACACTTCTCTGGCATGGTCACACCGAAGCCACTTTCACTTGGACACCATCTTGTGATGGTATTTTTAGCAACAAATTAGCTTACCTCCTTGCCCTCAAACCATCTTCTACCCCTCCTTTCTCTAGTTGGAAATGGATTTGGCACACGCCCACCAAATCTCTCCTCTTCACTCGAAAGATTACTCAAGACAACCTTTGCCCCCGCTGCCTATCCCACCCGGAAACCATCACCCATGCTCTGCGTGACTGTCCCTCTTCCTGGGCCCTATGGACCCTCATCAGCATTCCTGAATCCCTCACCCCCTCCTTCTCTTTGGACACTCCCCTTTGGCTCCACGCCAATTGTGAATCAAACGCTCGCCATTAATCGTGTCTTTAGGTTGTCCTTTTCCCCCTCACTTGTTGGACCATCTGGAAACACCGCAACGCTTTCTGTTTTGATACCACCCCCCTCCCCAACCCCACCGCCATCACTGCTAATGCTGTCCATTGGCAATTCATCTATAATTTTCCCCAGCCGCCCAAGACCAAGATCTTATCCTTTGTGAACTGGAAACCTCCCGACCATCCCAGTTTCAAACTTAACATTGATGGAGCAGCTTGTGGCAATCCCAGGGCTGCCTCAGCAGGGGGTATCATCAGAGATTCCAATGGTACTTGGATCAGTGGATTTAGCCGCAACATTGGATACATAACTAGTGTAGCAGCAGAATTGTGGGGACTTCGCGACGGGCTACAGTTGGCGAGAGACCTTAATTTGCCTAATACTGAAGTAGAAACTAATGCCACCACCGTGGAGCACCTGTTGAACAACCGGTCTCCAATACATCATCATTTTAGTAATCTAATTTCTGATTGCAGGTGGCTCCTCGACCAACTCGGAGTGCAGGAAATTCATCACATTTTTCATGAAGCAAACACTTGTGCAGACCTACTGGCCAAAGAAGGACACAAGTTGACTGAAGGCCTTCATATCTACTCTACTATGCCTAGTTTTATTACTGAACATGTTTGTATGGATGCCATGGGAACTTCTTATCCCAGATTTGTGCTTGACTCTTCTTAGCTTTTATATAACCCTTTATTACCAAAAAAAAACAGTTAGTGATAAAATTTTATATTTTAATGCTCCAATGAAGCTGTTAAAACAAAAGAGTAGTACTCGTAAGTTCTCATGCTTCCGAACATTTACACACTATTTATTTACTAATCAACTGATGAAGTTAAAAAAGTTCATTATTTGATACATGATACATGATGAAACTTAATGTTCGTGCTGGATTCAACAAATTAATGTCACATTATTTGATTTGATTAGAAAACTTGTTGAATGTTCTATATCTAAATATATTGAAGTTTAAAAAAAATTGTGTAGTTTAGCATGTGACTATAATAATAATAAATAAATAAATTCAAAATGCAAATTTAAATAATAATAAATAAATAAAATTCAAAATACAAATTTAAGTTAATGTAATTCTTCAACACTATTCCCTATTTGTAGGAAGAAGAAAACAAGTTCCATAATGATTTGATAAATTAGTACATATTTTTTACAAAAATCAATGGGAACAAAACAAGACAAAAATCAAATGGCAACTAAGATGATGGTACAAAAAAATATACAAGAAGGAAAATTTTGGTGAAAGCAACAATGCAAGGTTGACTTCCATAACTCACTACCAAAAACAAAAAAATAAAAAAATTCCAGGAATTATCGTCAAACAAGTCATAAAATAGTAGTTGACATTAAGAATTTTATCATTTGAAAGAAAAATATGACTAAGATGCTATTTTTCAACTCCCACAAAAATTTAATTTGAATTCTTACCTCTAAAAATTATTCACGTGCCTACCACTTGTATACCTAAAATGTGCAAACGAATGCAACTTCATAATATGAATCAGGTAGGTAAGCTTATTCTTGTCAAACTATCTTATAAATCTCTTATGCTGTGTTTGGTTGAGGGATTTAAGGAGAAATTTGAAAAAAAAAATAAAAAAGGTAGATGAAATGTGAAAAAAAATATACTTACATTTCATATAGTTTCACACACTTTTTCCCTTTCCCTTTTCCTTTCCAAATCTCTCCCCAAATCCCCCAACCAAACATAGCGTCAAAGAATCATAATGTGTTTTCAAAGCTAGTGTAGCAAACGATGATAAGCAGTCAGACTGAGTCACTACAGAAACAGGGTTTAATGACATTTAATTTTCCAACCAGAAAATAAATAATAATTAAAAAAAAAAAAACACACATGAAATGAACCTCTGACTCTGCCCCAATGTAACAACACAAGGGCCAGAAGGCAAGGCTTTTCAGTACCTACAAAATTGATACATAGATAACTCATCGAAATGCTAATTAATTGCTCTATACAATGTACATTGAACTCACAGTTTAAACTATATATTTATGCCATGTCCAATGCAGAAAACGTTCCAAACTTTGATAAGCTCCGAATACTTCATAGACATCAACCTCCTCTGGCATGGTTAGGTAGAGATAAACCACAAGTTTCTAAGATGAAATCTCAGTAACATATAAAAATTAAAATTAAAACAAATGGAGATGGTTCATCCCCATTTGTACCCTCTTATCTCTGATCCAGAGTTTGAATTCCTTGAACGAGAAGTTGCAGGTTTGATATGTTAAAAGAATTCATCACTCTTGATATAAATATTCCTCAATAAATCAGGTGGCAGAAAAAGGGCAAAGCAAATAACAGCCAGTCAACTAATCCAAGTTTCTCAAGCTTTCCAAACCCGGATGGTGCCATCAACAGAGGCAGTTATCATACAGCTGTCCTTTGGGTGATAACTCACACTAGTTACCTGCCAACGTAAAACAACACATTCTCAATTTTATGGGATCAACAATATTTTACAAAATAATAATAGCAAGAATGTCAAATAATTAAAACATCATAGTTCACTTCCTCATTTAACCAAGACATCAACAATATAGCGAAACTTTCATTGTTACACGGAGCAGAAGAGGAAACGGGAAGCGAGAGAGTGAGGACATATAAAAGATTCTAAGATTGGGAGTGTTTATTAATATATTATAAGAAATATTTTTTGCTTAGTTGTAATATTTTTTTGCTTGGTGTCAAATTTATTTATTTTTTTATTTTTTATTTTTTTTAATATAAATAAATATTATGTAAATACGAAGTATTCGAATAAACTTGAATCAAATTTATTCCAATAATCTGATGGCTGCTACAGATTTTCTTTTGTTCAATAGCATTTCTTTTTCTTTTGGTGCGATTCAAATGTTTGGGAGGTTCCATCCTAGTTGAAAGCACGGCTCTTTCTCGATGGAAACAAGATTTTTACTCTGCATCACAAAATCATGGTTCTAGAGCGGATTTGTCACCCCAACTAGGAGGTTCCCGCAACTAAGATATTTTCTTTCTCAGAAACTGATTAAGCATGCTGCATAATGTCTGCTTCTAAATAAACTATGTTGAGAAAATTAAAATGTTTATTTATTAGTTGTCTGCTGCATATACTACCAAACTGCTGAATATTTAGGAAATGAAGGGGGAAAAAAAATGTAACTGAATTTAGAAAAAAATATTCATAGGATAACAAAAGATTTTGTAGACACATTCTAGACACCTTTTGCCACTTTTCAGAACATATAGAAGTGGCATTTCTTTCAAATATCAGTTCATAAACTATTTTTAATTATCAGTTGCATTTGAGAATAGATTCGTACAAATGGCTGTACATACACTATGGATGTTGACTATACCAAACAATATTAACTCAGGTTTAATTGTGATTTGTCACAAGGAGTCATTTCAAGATGCCTTTTGAGGCTTGATTATTTCTATCCTTCAAAAACTTCCCTAAAGGATGAATACATCAACAACGTACACTAATTTGATTTAGATGTTTTCCTCCACGCACTTACAAAAAACAGGTAGGTTTGAAAATTTAGAAGATGCAAATAAAAAATATGACTAGAATAATGAGAACTTCATTGCAACCAAAAGATAATCAAGATCTTCCCCAGAAAGAGAAAAGGAGGAAAGTGGAGGCCGCAATCTTTTGAAAGTACGAAAATGCGCAAAATTTCTACAGGTTCTGTTTGCAAATACAACACTATGGTCAACTAAATTAATCATTTGGGTTATTCCTAAAGTTGAATTTAGGATTCAACAAATTGAATTGTCACAACAGTGGTGGCTTTACAAGTGTTGTGAAAAATTTCCATAAAATCTGTTCTCATAAATATAGATAAGCCTTCTAGTGAGAGAAACAGAAAGTATTCACTCATGGATAATATAGCAAATGGATTACTGAACAAATAAAGTCATAGGCAGAACTTTGGAGATAATTGAAACCGCAATTTCCATATTATTTTAATATTCTAAAAATCATATAAATTCTTGAAAACAATTGTTTACTATATTTGTGATATTCATGGAAGTTGGAACAATATTTACATTCTCAAATTATACAAGATAACACAAAGTGAAAGGGAAATGTATAATTGAGGACTCTTCAAGCTTTGGGGAGTTCCAACTATATATTTAGTATCCAACTTCCACACATGAGGACGTATGGAGACTTAATTCTCAAATCATCTGACAGGCTTCTCCATATATATATATATATTTTAAAAAATTCCAGGAAACATGTGAATATACTCTGGAACCCATAAATCCATTTGCAAGTAGGAAACAGGACATTTAGAAGCCATAACATGAACATTGATGACCATACTAAGAAATACAGCAGCTCTAGAAGAGAAACATACCACAGAGGTATGAGCACGGAAACTGGACACTACAGATGCATCTACCAGATCCCAAAAGAAAACAAAACCATCTTCAGATCCCCCAATTATGTGGGCATCACTGTTTGTAAGGCAGCAATCCATCTTGAATGACTGATGGAGAAACAACAGAATGGGAAAAATTAGAACGATCATTTAATAGTTAGAAATCAGACACACAACTCAAGGCACAGGCTGGCCTTGAGTATCACTGAAAATAAGATACAGAAAAATTGGTTTGAAACTTAACAGCATGCATAAGCCAACAGTTGAACATTGTAAAATAAATGCTTAACCTAACAACTGCTATAACTATTATGAAGAACTAAAAGACACCATCACAAAGTTTTAATCTAGGCTCCTTTTCTGACCTTGCAAGTATGGCCTTTATACTCTTGCAATAGTTCACCAGTAGATCTGACATGTAAAAGAACCAGTCAAAAGGTTGGAAAGTTCACAATATTTATAATAAGAACAAGTGGAAAGAGAAATTACCTGTCCAGAAGACGTAGATTAGAATCTAGGCAACTGGCTAATATGCAGTTACCATCATTTGAAAGTGAGATACAATTGACAGGCTGCCCCACGTCATCACATATTTCTCTAGTCAAAAGCATCAAAGTCATTGTAAGAGAGATGTCATGATGGAAGGGAGAAATGATTGTTGCACATAACTAAAATACAAAAAATGTACAGAAAGTTTAATGTGTGGTGAAGATTCATCTTGAGTGTTAGTGGGCCATGCTTAAAATAAATCTAGACCACACAATGCACTTTCTGTGCTTTAATTCTGTGCATATAGCACTGTTGTGGTGGAAGGTGTCCCAGAAGAATAAAGCATGGTGAATAACCTCTTTTAAATACTGGGCCAAAATATGTAGTTTCATGATTTCGTTGCTACAATGTTACATACCTACCAATTCGAATGTCAAATGTTCGAATGGTTCCATCAACACTTCCAGCAATAATTTCACTTTTTGTTAAACAAACGGACATCACACTGTCTAAAAATGTGTCGATGATCTGCAAATGGACCCGAATTTAGGGAGAACAAGTCAGCAGGTCTTATCAGAGAGAGAGAGAGAGAGAGAGAGAGAGAGAGAGAAACCTGAATTGGCTCAGTGCTGTGAGATCTGCAGTCCCAAGCACGCACTGAACGGTCATACCCTGCTGATACTACAACAGATGCATACTCATTGAACTTTACAGCATTCACCTTGAAAAGAAAAATATATAGGAAAAAAGCTGTTAAAAGAGTGAAGGATATATATATATATATATGTGTTTTATAAGTAAAGCAAATTATATTAAAACACATCAAAAGGGGGTGTTGCCCATGTACGAAAGGTTAAACTATGAAGCCTTAGCCACTCTAGCCAATTATGCCTATAAAAAGTTTGGAACCCCTTTTCTATTCAAATTATAATACTCACCAAACCCCTTTTCTACTCGAATTATAACACTGGTGCCAAAGGGCTATCAAGAAATACGTTCCACTATTCGATGATCTCAACACTAGGATAAATGGAGAATTTATCCAAAAGAGAAGATCAAAAGTTTAAAGAACCAAAAGAGAGAAGAATACAAGGGTCAAAACCCTAATCTCACAAACGGCCACAACCTTGGACTAGATATCAAAATTTAAAGCTAAGGAATACATAGTAAAGCCTCATATTTATAGTCTTGAATCCCTAATTTAAAATAGAAAACTGAATCATAGCATTATTAAAAAAGTTATTTTTTAATAAAATAAGTAACTAAATATACTGAGATCTTAATTAAACTATCAATAAAAAATAAATAAATATAAATACAAAATTACAATATAAATAAAATTTCCATGCCACGTTCTGCATCATCTCTCCAACTGAGAAAAAGAACTCGTCCTTTAAGTTTTCCCTGTTTAAAAATTGAACTGGTCTATGAAAAAGAATCAAATACTATGAATACACAAGTTGTTTTTGCTAACTAATCTCAGTACTCAAGGTGTTGATGAGGTCCACCTTAGAAGCACAAGCACGAACACAGACATGGACATGCGACACGACCCGAACCGAACACGTAAATTTTCAAAAAATGCAGGACACGACACGTTGGGGACATGTGCAAAATATATAATTTTATATATTTATTATATTTCATATTTTTAAATATTTAATATTTATTTTATGTCAAATATTTAATTTTATCAAATTTATCAATCTTAGATTTGCTATTTTGGTAAAAAAAAAAAAAATTTAATTTAAAAAAAAAAAATGGTCCTCAACATGTCTCCAAGTGTCCAGTGGGTTTCTGTCTCCAACATATGTCAGACACCTGCACATCACCTCCAAAGAGGTGTCTGTGCTTCATAGAGGTCCACTAAATTTGGATTCAATGAGTGAAGAACTCTTCGACACGAATAAAATCAACCTTCTCTATTGTAATGAAATACTCTGTTGGTGGCACATCAATAAAATCTGACAATTTGAGTCCCTCTGCATGTACAATCTCTTCTTTGGATAGAACCACTTCCTGCATAAGATTTTCCTGCACTGTAATTGCAGCTTCTAATATTTCGACCTTTTCCAAACCTTCTTCCAAAATAATTGCACTTTCCTCACACATTGGAATAGTTTCGTCAACAATTTCCATATGATTCTCACAAGCACCTGAGGAATTTCCGAAACATCTCCTAAAACAAGGGCCAACAACTTATCCAAAGAATATTGTATTTGTACCATTTGATCCTTCAATCCATGTAGGATTGGATGTAGGGCATCAAATTTTGAGTATATGTCAACATTGGTGAACATGGTTAATGGGGTAAAACCTAAGCTGGTCTTGTGCTTGGCTAGACAAAATGAAAATGGGTTGGGGCTTCTTAGTGAGGTCTTCGGTTGGGTTGAGTGATTGTTGGCTTAAAGGCTGGATTACTGATCCTGATTTGGGCTTATTCATGTGGCTGTATGTGGGTTGGTTTAAAGAAAATGGTTGGGTTTGGGAAATTTTTTTTGTGAGGCTGTTTGGTTCTACTTGCTTGGGTGGGCTGAACAAGTGCGTCAAGGGTTTTGTGAGATTGAGGTAGGCTGGGTCAGTTTCAGTGTGGGACTGATTGCTTGATTGGGCTTGATGTCTAAAGAAGGTATTTAATTGGGCTGGCGCTGGTTGTAAAAAGAATAGTGGGCTGGGCCAGAGTTGGTTTGAAAATATTGGATTCTTGGTGAATAGTAGTCGGTTAAACTGCGTTGAGCTGGATTTTAAAGGATTAAGTGGACTGGTGTAAATCAGTTGTTGGGTTGTGTAATGAATTGGGTCAGTGAAATATAGGTCAAGTTGACTTGGGTCGGGTCAAGGGTTTATAACCCTTTCTCTGCAACAACGCCTTCCTCACGCAATGCTGAACGATCAAAGCTCTAGAGTTTGGCAAGTCATGGTGAAGGCACGATGGAACAACAACAGTTAACTCCAGATAGGTAATCAACGACAATGGACATCGTACATCATAGATGATAATGATACAAAGCTGTGAGGAAGCAATGAGTCACCAGAATTTGTGCAAGGTCTGATTTGTTGATGATAAGTCGGTTCCAAGGAGGGGCAACGATCACGAAGAGAAAGTATGGTGTGAGGGTCACAAGAATGGGAGCCGCAATGGGAATGCTCTCCAGCAAGGGCATGCAATGGCAGAAACAGATTGTATGTGGTTGCCGGCGATGGTAGCTGGAGAGACTGAGGTGAGGATAAAGTAGTGAGGATAATGATGGTTTGATCGACAAGGCCGTAGTAAGAAAAACAACCAAACTGATTGAACAAAAACAATGGATCAAGATTGGGTTTTGATACCAATTGATGCTGAAAGGCTATTAAGAAATCCATTCTACCATTCGATTGATCTCAAAACCAAAATAAATGGAGAATTGATCCAAAAGAGAAGATCAAAAGTTTAAAGGAGAACCAAAAGAGAGAAGAATACAAGGGTCGAAACCCTAATATCACAAACGGCGACAACTTTTATTCATTATCAATAATTCAAGGCTAAAGACTACAATGTAAAGGCCTAATATTTACAAGTTTGAAACCTTAATTTAAAATAGAAAACTTAATCATAACATTATTTGGAAACTTATCTCTAATAAAATAAGTAACTATGAGCTTGGTGAAACAGTGAAAGTGACGATTGGGCCGTGGGTTAAGTCAAATTTGACTACTGTCCCCTATTCAGTGAATGATATTGTGGATAATCTGAATCAAATCAGGCTATGTCTATGAGGTGGTTGATTGCGGGTGGTCAGAGTGTGGTTAGCTTCTTGTCTTGTTAGATTTGTGTAGTTGCTGCTTCTTGGGTTGTTTTTCACTTCTATCTTGGTTGGTTACTCACCAACTCTGGGTTTGGTACTGTCATATGATTGTGCTTGCTTCTAGGTGTCAACCTAGTTGGGATTTGGAAGTCTATTTGCACCATCCCCCCCCCCCTCCCCTCCCCTATTGATGTAATGTTCTTAAACTTTGTATTGGTTATCTTCATCAGTAAAGGTCTCTTTTTTGTTGATCAAGAACAAAATATTAAGATCTTAATTAAATTATCAGTAAAAAATAAATAAACATAAATATAAATAAAATTTCCATGCCATGTTCCGCATCAAACACTAAGGCAAAAAGGCCCAACAACTTATAAGTGAAGAGAATCAACAAAAGCTATAATTTGATCGAGATATGGAAGAACCTATCCCCATATCCAACTATACTATACAAAATATCCAAAGAGAAACTCTCAAGCACATGTAAAGGCTCATCTACACCTTGAAAAGTTCTCTTGTTCTACTCCCTCCATGAAATTCCCATCAAACACAAAGCTAGAAACCAAGCCTTTTGCCTATGCTTCCCCACCCTTCCTCCCAACCAAGCATAACGCCACAACATCTTTTTGTGAAACACACACTACATCCAAACAAAGCAAGAATGAGCCCCTAAAAATGAGCCCCAAGAAATCCTTTGCCACATTACCAATTCACAAGATCAACCATCTCCTACTTAAATTAACCACCATAAAATCTTCTAATGGACTACATTCCACACAAAAAAGGCCACTTTGAAGGAACCCCAACAGTCCAAATGTCTTTTAAAGGGAAATTCACCATTCCACTCCCCAACAAAGCCTCAAAATTGGACTTCATACCCCAACCTTCCTTTCTCAAAAATAACTTACCACAATGAGCTTCACCTTTCCCAACAAGCCTAATCCCATAAAATATACTAAGCAAATCAATCATATGCTTCCACCATTGAAGCCTCTGGTTGAGGCTAGGAAAAAAATATTAGAAAAGGCTCTCTAAACACATTGTCTCCAAAGTCTCTATGTAACTTCTCAAGCCTCCTCACCACCAAAACTAGAATCAGATGCAAGGATATGAAATAAGTTCACAACAAATTACTCTTAATAAGTGTAAGCTGAATATTCTATCTTCTAACTTGCTAATCTCTTCCAAGACTGCTCTATAACCCAATACAACCTTCAAGTTATAGGTAGATACCAAAGGAAGGCAAACGTATGTGATTGGAAGGGTAATTCTTCTACATCCAAGGATAAAGTCAACTCTTCAACATTCAAAACTTCTCTTACAGTAAGGTAATCAATTATGTCTTCGCCACGTTTATGACAACAGAAAACATCGAAGGTGACCCATTTGCACCAGATCTGCCACACCAAAAATGAAAGTATCCCCCGCATATAATACGTAAGAGACCACCAAGAGGGAACCCCTAACACACCTACCTTAAAACCCTCTATGAATTGTCCTAGGTCTATCCTACCAGACATACAACTTAGTAGCACCTTTATAATAAGAATGAACTAGTGGAGATAATAGGTCACCTTGCCTCAAACACCTCTGCAAGAAGCCTGTTGGTGATTCATTTTAAAATCGAGATTTGAACTGTTGCAATACAAAAATGAATCCATCTTCAACATCTTTCACCAAAAACCTAGACTTCCCATCACATACAATAAGAAGCCCTAATTTACATGATCACATGTCTTCTCAATATGCAACTTGTAGATCATCCCTGCCTCATGACCCAATTTAAAATCCACACATTCATTAGCCTCAATAATCGCATCTAGAATTTGCCTTCCTTCAACAAAAGCATTTGAGACTCCAAAATTACCCCATTCACTATCTCTTTCAAATGGGTAGTCAACACTTACGCAAACAACATACAAGCACACCAAGCAAGCTAATAGGTCTAAAGGTTCTAACATCCTCTACACCTTCTTTCTTAGGAATCAAAGCTTCAAAGGGCACATTTAAGCTTTTTACAAAAATGGAATGCTCATGGAAGAATGTCATCATTTCCAATGCTTCCTGAATTGCCACATCTCAAAATTTCTTAACAAAAGTCATAATTATACTACAAGGTCCTAGGACTTTATCCCTATTGAGATCAATGAGGGCTCTAACAACTCCCTCCATGAAAGATCTTTCCAACCACACAGCTGGAGAGAGAGAGAGAGAGAGAGAGATGTTAAATTTTATACTCTATAAGAAGCCTTCCATCAACACACACCCTCCCTGTAAGATTATTCTTCGATATGCATTAGCTATCCAATGAAATAACCTACTAATTTTTGTCCCCTTTCCTTACACCACAAAGATCTAGCTTTTTGCTTCTAGCTAATCTCTTTCACCTTGCAACCCTTACAAAGTATGCCTCTCTTCCTTTTAACCTTCTCCATAGCTTACCACTAGCTTCTTGCTGATCCAAAACTCGAATCTCATCCAACACCTTTGTCTTCTACTTTTCTAGTTCACCAAACTCCTCTTTATTCCATTTCTTTAAATCCACTTTTAAAAGCTTCAATTTATTTGCAAGAATTAAGCTAGGGTTGCCTACCACACAATATCATCAATTGTACAAAATAGTGAAAGATAAATGCAGTGCACCAGAAAAATAAATTTATCAGTTACAAATATTAAAAATATAAAAATGATTTGCACCCCTATAGTGCAGGCTGCTGTATTTTATATATTTTAAGTTGTTAATCAATAAAATATATTTTAAGTTGTTAACCAATAAAATATAACTTCCCTCTTCTCCATTCCTATAAAACACTTTTTTTTATTACAGCAATGCTAGGCACCCTAAAAAGGAACCCTGAAAATGGAATGTGTGAATCACATTCATTCTAGGAAGGCAAACACAACAATAAGTTGAACCTCCACCACGCACTTCACTTCCAGGGTAGATTTCATGGTTACATGTTCAGGGTACATATCTTTTTCCTTTTTGTCCATTAAGAAATTTCAAAATCACTAAACAATTTTAAAGAAAGATAACTGTTAGGAGCTTTGTTGCTTCAAAGTCTACCGTGTTAAAGGACCAAACCACAATGATATTTGCAAATGCATCTGTCAGCCACGAGACAACTATATATCCATGTTCAATACTTGTATGGCTGGAATTGGAGTTTGCTAGACTAGTAACCTGCCTGTCACAATTTTAACTTTTGTCATTTAAGTATTAAGCACAAATATAAAGTTGTTTCATAGCAGGTAAATACACTCGGAAATATCTTCATTTTAACTCCCATTTGCTCCTTTAAACCCAGTAGGCAGGACGTTAATATGTCTGAATTATTGGAGATGGTGGCAAGAAAATGCAGTTTCAAAGTCAATTTAGAAGTATATCAACAATGATGTTAATTGTTGAAGCAGAGCTACCTTAACATCAAACAAAATTTGATAATAAAGGCATTTAATATGCTAATAATGAGAAGAAAATTAACTTTCACAAACCTCACTGTCATGACCACGAAATTTTCGAATCACACGACCAGTCGATACGTCCCAATAAAAGATTTGCCGATCACCACCACAAGAACAAAGTTTGGAGTTATCCCTACAATAGAATAACAGTTTAATGAGAATGTGCACATATGCCTACAATAGAATAACAATTTAATGAGAAATGTGCAAATATGTTTAGGGAAACTTACATGTAGGTCCTAATTAGTGAACTTATTGTCTAATAGGTCCTATGGGAAAAATTTGTCATAAAAAAATTCACTAATTGTAAGTTTTAGCGACAATTTATAAAAATCATGACAAAAAAAAGTCACCAATTGTCAATTTTTAGCGATATATATAAAAAATTATCACAAAAAAATTATTTTTAGCGACAATTTTACCAAGACTTATCTTCAATAGGACTTGATGGGAATTAATGCATTTGTAAATAACATTTTTCAAATAAAAATTGAAAGGCCATCAAGCTTTCCTTTCACTTGCAATTTGAAACAAGTGCTGAGGGCAGGAGAACTGGTAGGGACCATGGTCACACCTGCCAAAGTTCCTAATTCCACCCATTTGCCAATGTCCACTAGAAGATACATCATACATGTATTGGTCCACTAGGGATGGTAATTCCACCCAAAAAACCATGTATCTACCTTGCTTGCCCCGCCCCTAATGGGACAAGGAGCGAGTTTGGGGCAATGAGGCAAAACCTGACTATGTTCATGTTGAGATTGGGAATAGGAAACTCCGGCCCCAATTACTGTCAAAGTCTTATAATACCTTTATTTTATAACTACATTGCCTTAACACCATGGCATGTATACAATACACATACATATGTTAGTTAGGGCTTTTTAAAACAACAAATGACCTATTTATTGTCATCTCTTCTTTCTATTCTCCTTCCTCACTGCCGTTACATCATGGACACCACGTGTAATGGCCTCATCCCAAATAGCAACGATATTACCCATTTTGTCCACGACTCAACTTTAAAACATGTCGTCACCAGTAAACGATCACATATATAGCCCATGTACTTTCTCTAACCAGGTGAGATCCCAAGGTATACATTCACCTCCTATAGGACCAAATGTCCTTGTGGGGTCAATGGTTTCCCACCATGCAGCTGCCACTGTGCAAAGCAACAGGCCGCCGGGGCATGACCTACATATCTGTTCAATTATGGCCCACATACCGAGAGGCAAATCCCACTTTTACATCCTAGATAATTAGAACTTCGAATACTTGACAAACATACAGTGGAGTTGAAGACAACCTCTTCACTTTTTCTGCCAATCCGAGTTTATGTTAGAAGTAATTGAATGATGCACATGAATTGCATATGCATATTGTAGAATAAAGTTTCATTCATAAACAGGCAATTGATGAGATACAAGTGGGTCAGTAATTTCAAACCTGAAATAGAAATGCAATAGGCTCACAGGAGAAAATTTCAATGAAATTCTAGCCATGTACACGGCTGAATTCAACTCATCAGTTACTCAAAACCTCAGCCCCCAATAATCAAAAGTAAAACAAATAATTCACAAAGGGCTTTGAATCTCAGGAGTCACCAGAATTTGATTAGTTATACTAGTGCTTAATTGGACCATCATACCCACCACCACCCTATGCAAACCATATTTTTCTTTGCTTCCACTTTCTGACCAATCAAACAGAGCGAGAAGGTTATTAATAATAATAAAGGGTTTAGGTTTGTCGCAAGTCCTAATTAAAATTAAAATTTCAATTCATCAATCTTTCAAGAGCTAACATAATAACCAGATTAACATGGAACAACAGTGTAATCATTCTATATATATATATATATAGAGAGAGAGAGAGAGAGAGAGAGAGAGTGTGTACGGGGTGCAATGGACGTCACGGACTTCACGGCCGTGGGATTTGTAAGTCTTGATGTGGATGCCACGGTGGGGATTCCAGAGGCGGATGGTCCTGTCCTTGCCGCAACTCAGACAATAGTTCCCGTCTGCGTTGAACCTCGCCGCCAACACTGCCCCCTCGTGCCCCTTTAATACGTTCGCCTCCTTCCCCGGCAGCAGCACTTCTCCGCTCATCTCTCTGTGTCACTTCTCACTTTACAGCCCCCAATTTTATTGCGGGCTGAGGTTATTTCGACCATATTTCATGGCTGCCTCTATACAGCGGGAGCTTCTATCTACACAGAGCAAATCCTCTCTATACACACACTTAATCATATTTAATTTTATTATAATTTTATCCTAAATGAAATTATTATTTTAGACATCATTGTTGATTCAAAACATCTCAATGCACACATCCATCTAGACTTTATATCTATTGCATCGTGCATACATCTATCCAATTCAAAATGTCTCTAAGTTTGTAGCTTCATTGGGCTAGAAGTGAAAGCAGAGTATTCACTCATTCGTAACTTCTTCCAAGTTCGTAACTTCTTCCATTAAGCTCCAAGTTCGTAGCTTCTCAATGCACTCATTCATCAACCTTCCTCATTCATAGGGAAAGCATCATTGTTATGGAGGATTTGCCTTTTGAAAATCAGTAAATAAGTGTTTATGAGAAACATAGCGAAGGGAATGTGAGTTTCTCTTGTTTTTTTTTTCCAGCGTCGTTCGAATAACCAGAGTCGAATTGTATTATTTGGTTCAGAAATCTATTACCGAAATAAGTATTTATTTTCGGAAGTTGTTGTCCGAACAAAGTTAACTTTTACAACATTCAACTTCCGAAATTTTAAAATAAATTCGGACAACTACTTCCGAATGAAGTAAAAAAACAAAATTTCCCATTTTATATTCCAAATTTGCAAACTGCATACTAAATTTACAGTTTCGAATTGTAAATTAATCTTTATAATGCCATTAAAAATTTGTAATGTTATACAAAATATGTAGAAATATGTGTCAACTCAAGGAAGTCAGGTTTGCGCGGATTTTGTGTTGGATTACACTACTCAATTCACAACTGAACAAGTTCACTCTACGAAATTATAATGATTATGTTTCAAATTGCGCAACAAATGTAAATGTTTGATAATATTTATTTGACTTTGTAGGTATTCAAAAGTAAGGATGAATTGCTCAACTGGGTACGTGAAGTTGGAAAGAGAAATGGTTTGGTCATTGTAATCAAAACATCAGACTATGGTGGAGGGAAAAAAAGACTCAGGATGTATCTTGCTTGTGAGAAGAGTGGCCAATATAGAGCGACAAAGAAGTTAAAACATGATGGCAACAATACATCAAGAATAACCGGTACGAAGAAGTGTGGTTGTCCTTTTGATATGAGGGCTCACAGGTTTACCACACATGATGAATGGACATTGACCGTAATATGCGGATTACATAATCATCCACTTGCGGAGCACGTTGAGGGACATTCATATGCGGGGAGGCTATCAAAGGATGAGAAAGCATTGTTAATGGATATGTCAAAGAGTATGGTTCGGCCAAAAGAAATCCTAGTAACTTTGAAACAGCGAGATGCCCTCAATGTAAGCACACTTAAAACCATTTACAATGTATGCCATCGAAACAGGGTGGTACAGAGAGCTGGAAGATCACAGATGCAACACTTATTGGGTGAATTGGCCAAGTATAATTACATTGAGCGCCATCGGTCTAAAGAGTCCACGTTGACTATGACAGACTTGTTTTGGACATATCCTACCAGTTTGGACTTATTTCGGTCTTTCCCACGTATATTAATTATGGATTGCACATATAAAACCAACAGATATCGTATTCTCTTCTTGAAATTGTGGGAGTGACATCAACTGAAATAACATTCTCTGTAGCTTTCGCATACTTACAGTATGAGAGGGTCAATAACTATGCGTGGGTGTTAGCTACATTGCGTGATGTCATGGATGGTTTTGTTGTGCCAACAATTATTGTTACTGACAGAGAGCTAGCCTTGATGAATGCCACACAAAAGATATTCCCGAGTGGCAGACATTTATTATGTCGTTGGCATATCAGTAAGAATGTATTGACCAAATGCAAGAAAATGTTTGAGACACAGCAGAAATGGGAGAAGTTCAACCATGAGTGGAACTCTTTAGTTTATTCATCTTCTGAAATTCAATACGATGAGCGTCTTAAATCATTACTTAAGGAATTCAGTAGTTATTCTGATGCAGTCAAATACGTCATGGATACTTGGTTGGTTCCTTACAAGGACAAATTTGTGGCGGCATGGACAGACACGTGTATGCATTGTGGCAATGTTACAACGAACCGGTAAGATTACTTTTGTTCAATATGTTATTAATAAGTGCCATGTACTTGATTTTAATTTGACTTACATTGAATTGAACAAGGCTAAGAGTGCACATGCAAAACTTAAAAGACAATTGGGTTTATGTCAAGCCTCATTTCAGACATCATTTGAGAAAATACACAGTCTACTTGAGTTGCAACACACTGATATCAAGGCTTCATTTGAGAAAAGTCTAACTGTTGTGCAACATCAATTTAAATCTTCTCAGTTCAGGGAGCTACGGGGTAATGTGTCTATTTCTGCATTGGAGTATTTGCTTGTAGAGAGTAAGAGATCCAATTCCATTGGTATTGATGTTGAAGCTTGTAGATGCGTCCTTCGCCACACTCATGGTTTACCTTGTGCCCATGAGATTGCTGACTACATCAGACAATATCGTCCTATACCACTTGCTACCATACACTCACAGTGGAGGCAACTTCATATCTCCACATGCAAGAAAGAAGAGGAAACGGAGGTGAGTTGTCATGCAGAAGTAGAGTTGTTTGTGAACAAGTTTAATGAAAGTGATAGAACCATGTGGTTGGAGCTTTTGAAGAAGTTGAAAGAGATTGTATATCCGGGAAGCACTTTCCTTGTTGAGCCGGAGGTGAAGCCCAAAACACGTCCTCGGGATCATAAGAAGATCAATGTTTCTACCCGTCGTGACCCATGTGCATTTGAGTTGGTGCAATCTGGACATGATTTCTTCTCACCTAGGGACACTCAAATCACTACATTAGCTTCTACTCTGTAAACCAAGAAGAAGCGACCTGTTAAGGGAAGGAGAAGGTGAATCTGAAAGGGAAGGTATACATTACTGGAACAATGAAACCTAGTGCATATGTTGATGCTTTCCCTTCTGGGTTGAAACCATACATTAAGTTTGTCAAGGATGTAGCTGCAGATGGGAATTGTGTTTTCAGGGCTATAGTTGCTTCAATTGGTCATACAGAAGATGATTGGGCTCAGGTTAGGCGTGATCTGTTGGGTAAGCTGCACACACACAAAGAGGAATACATTACACTTTATGGGTCCTACGAAAGGTTTGAAGTATTGACAAGCATATTGTCATACTTTGAAGACAGTCCTAGATACTCATATTGGATGACTATGTCAGACATGGGGCATCTTGTTGCATCGTGCTACAATTTTGTGTTATACCACTTGTCATTACAGCGATGTCTCACTGTAACGCCCTCAAAAAAATACATAAAACCCATTACTTTAGACATGTATTAATATAAAAGAAACCAACCATTGCTATTCATCAGAGTAATTCTTACAACTGTATTACATGTTAACAACAAAAGCAAATGTCCTATGGGCTTACAGCTTTCCAAGTTAACACTTGGTTACAAAAAAAGAGTACTAACTCAATATATATTAAGCCATTGGCTTGAATTTACATGTAATACATCAAAATAAACAAAAAAAAAGAGTCTTCAACTCTCATCCTCATCCAAGCTATGTCCTTGGATGTGGCATACTACCTGTACCTGAAAATAATGTCCCATATAAGGTGAGTCAACGCCCAGCAGAGATATGCTAAACACAGTATGAGCAATAACTAAGACATTTGCAATTGATAAATGTTCAATTTCCATAAACCAATTCATAACCCGTTTCCATTTCTTTTCAATTTTCATTTCTTATCAGTTTCACAATTTACATTAACGGCTCAGAACCTGGCCAACCACTTATATGAGACAGTGACTCATATTAAACATTTCCCATTTTACAATAGATAAACATACTAGTTGTATCACATCTCAACAGATAAGCATACAAGCTGTATCTACATTTCAACAGATATGCATATTAGCTATATCAACACTTCCAAAGATAAGCATATGAGCTGTATCAACACTTCCAAAGATAAGCATATGAACTATATCAACACATTATCTGACAAGCATATGAGCTGTATCAGTGGAGTCCATCTCCTATCTCCTCCCAAACAACATCCGGTTTAGAGGTCCATCCCCTATCTTTCCCTAAACCGTGGAGTACATCCCCTATCTCCTCCCACACACACAACGTATATACACAAAGGTCATATACACAATCAAACAATACATAACGTTAATGTATTTTATCAACCGTCATACTCTATGACATAACCAATTGATTAGTTTTAGTTTGCCTAATCATCATGCATTGTCTACAACAATCAAAACTACTCTCCACCGGTAGCCCAAACAATTATTTCTAAACAGATAATAAAAGCTCCAACAGATAAAATATCAATGTTTTCAAAAGTGAGCGATTAATAAATCTAACTCCACTATTCTACCATATAATGAACCAATTTCATTATTTTCAACTCAAATCCGTGTAGCTACAATTTTCCCAAATTAATTATACCAATTAATTTTAAACAACAAATTAAGACTTTTACCCCCAACTCTCAATATCAACTCAAAGGTTCAAATATCACTAACCAACAACTATATCATCATTTTGAAACCCCAAATACATATTATGAGCCCAAAATCACAAACTCTCTTTAACACATTTTGAAACCCTAAGTCCCAAAATCAACCATTTAAACAATAAGCTCAAAGTCTATGTTAAAACCCATAAGAGTGAGTAGGAATCCCTACCTCAAATTTGGAGCTCAAGGAAAAAAGATGACGAAACTCAACGTGCTCCAAAACTCAAAATTTTTAGATCAAGGTAAAGCCCTCGACGATCAACCCAACTTTTATGAAGACCAAAGGTGAGGAAAACACCCTAGCTAGATCAATACTTATAGAGAAGTTATGGTTTTAGAGAGAGGAGCTCTCAAATGGCTTCTTCGGAAAAGTAAGAGAGAGAAAGAATGAGAAAAAGTGATTTTTAAATGTCCAGCTGCCAACTGATATACGACATTCCCGCTTGAGCGGAGAACACAACGCTCGAGCGCCAAGAACAAAAATCTGGACACGCTCGAGCTCAAGAAGGCCCGCTCGAGCACCAAGACACAAGAATAAAGCACTTCCGCTCGAGCGCGAAAACCAGTCTGCTCGAGCATAGATTTCCCCCTCCCAGAACTTATACCTAGAAAGTGCTACCTGCTCGAGCGCCAACAAACCCGCTCGAGCGCTGCCGCTCAAGCATAAAGAAACCCGCTCGAGCGTAAAAATCACACCTGCAGAAGTTTTGCAGGGACACGAAATACTGGAGGTGTGCAATCTCCGCTCGAGCGCAAGAAGACCCGCTCGAGCGGACCTCTTAAAAACTGGGCAACAAAGAATTGAAACCAAAGCCCAACCAACCTGTAACAATTCTGCCCAATACATCCTAAAACTCAAATAAATGGAATTAAAGGACGACAACAAGATAGATACAACTATCAACTCTACGAAACCGAGTCCGGAATACAACAGAGCAGTAAAGGGATAACCGGGATCGCTATACTCACCTTTTTACCTCTTAGAACAGTGTTAGTGCCTCAAATTGATAGACGTGAGATTGCCATTGGGTTTGTCAACGGAAATCATTTCGTCCAGGTATAACAGAAACTTATCAATTGGGTTTGTGCATGTACAAGAAGTTATGAGGTATGACCACTAACAAAATTAGCTTCTATTTGGTGCAGGTTTTGTTGCAGCTAGGCCAACCAGTTCCTCCTATAGCCACTAATTGGCGAAAATACCGTCACCCTTGCGCTGTCGACTGAGATGATGCATATGTGCGTCACATTCAACATTTCAAGGACATTATTCATGATAATGTAGCTACTCGAGAGACATTTGATGTTGTTGATGTCGCATGACACATGTATGCATTTGACAATGTTAGAATTATGGAAGAAATTAATGGATGTGTTTTTGATGTTGATGTGTTCTGTTTTGCAATCTAGATTGAATGTTATTGACCATTGTTACCATTCCATTGTAATAAGAAAATATCATTTACAAAATCAACGACCATTGTTACCATTCCATTCTAATAATTAAATGTCATTACAATACCATTGTTGCCATTCCATTCTAATAAGAAAATATTATCCACTATTACCATTACAACAATATCATCTTACAAAAAACACCAAAAAAAATTCATCAACTAACAAATAACATGCCACGAATCAGCTATATGCCTACGCCTAGGCCTACGATTGTATGTCAATGTCGAAGATGGAAAGCGACCTCCAGTATAACTAGGTCCAGCTTCGTCAATGTGCTGACCTTGAAGGACATGCGTCATACTCTCAATAGCCTGGTAAAGTCGGTAAGGATGTCGAATCCCCTCCTCATAACCAGCGTCAATAATAGGATGTGAAATCTGCAGTGCATGTGCAATACGCTGCATTAAAAAGAATATCACATTTTAGGGAACATATCAGAAAATAAAAAGTAATTTACAAATGCATAAAAGAGGATAATATATTACATCGACATGTTGGCTGAAATCCTGATGGTCATGGACACGCGGTTCATCAGTGTGCTCAACATATAGGTGCGTGATATTCTTATACCAATTCATGTAACCCGGTACACATTCCCAAGGCTGACGAACTGGTGTGCTCCTCTGTTGCTCAGATAACACGTGGTTATCCCAAGCCTCCTAGATCCTATCCAAGTATCTATACATGACTGTATATCGTGCAGATATGTTGCCTCAAGCACCACGACTGGGAGCTAGCAGTGCATCTGGGATGGTTTGAACCCTGCCAAACTGCCTTAGAACTCTATCTGGATGATAGGGTTCGACAACGTCTAAGCACTTTAAAGCATTCATGGTAGAACGTAACCGGGTTACATGTGGATGCCGGTCTCTGCAGCTGTGGTATGGATCCCAAATAACTTGTAAACATAAAGTGTTTTTGAATTAAAGTATATAAAGGGTAAGATAAATGGAAAGTGTTAAAATTATCTCAGGATGAGTAAACTTACCTTAGTAGCTACCAAACTGTCAAGCTTGGCTCGAAAAGATTTCAAACGATCAATGGAGGAACCCGCCTCTCTCCTAGATGTCCAATGGTACACGTGTGGCATGTCTTCATTGTAGCCCATGTTCTGGTGAGGTCGGAATGCTCGGAAGTGCTCATAAATCCACACCTCCAAAAGAGTCATATAACCACCCATCTGCTTAACCCCGGACAGGCTAGCATACCCCAACTATTTGTATAAAAATGCTAATGCAGTAGCACCCCAGGCGTAAGTATGAATGGATCCCAAATCCATCAATAAGCCAAGGTAAACAACAGGAATCCTGCCGCCACTCTTGTTACTAAAGAGTGTACATCCCAACAAAAACAACAAATAAGCTCTAGCAACGCACTGTATAGCCTCCTCAGGATCTGAATCTGTGACACCAGCAAACTGACTTCGCAACCACTCAAGCCTAACTAAATTGCCACCAGCAGTAGAAACCTCTTCATGTGCTGCATGTTCAGTAATCCCCAAGCCATAAACCAGTAGTGTAACTCCATGATGATCTGTCACATCTGGTAGGCTGACTGATTTGCCTACAATGGGAAGGCCAAGAATAGTGCCAACATCATCCAGGGTCAAGGTCATCTCACCAACTGTCATGTGAAATGTGTTCGTCTCAGGTTACCATTTCTCAACAAAACTGGAGATTAGAAGCTTGTTGACAAACCGATAAGTGCAACGAGCTAACTGTGACAGCCCAGACTGCTCAATAATGGCTTTGAATCTGGCGTTGTTGTCTATTGACCACCATGGCCATGCAAGGATCTTCGAAGAGTAATTATAACACTTTAGGGGCCCTCGTTCCTATAACACAAATAATATCTCATTAGAAACTACTATACAACACACACAGGAAAAAAAAATTCATATACAAATGAATTTCACTTCTACTCAGGAATGTTTACCTCCCCGTGCCAAACAGCTGCAGCGACATGACTATTGAAACTCCGCAGTATTGATGGATCAGTTGGTCCACCTGGAAAAGCATGAGTAAGGTCCTCTTCCTGGACAAGAGGAGAATCAGGTAAAGAGGCATCCTCCACAACAATGCCAGGCATATCATAACCTTGAACTCGTCTTTGGCTTCAGCTCCCACTTTGACTGGCACTGGGGATATCATATTTTACCGAAACTGGATCATGACCTCGACCACGACCTTGACTTCGTCGTTTCCCACGCCCTCGTCCCCGTTCATGGTCTACATCCAATTCACAACGTCGTCTATTTGAAGCAGTAGGTGGGACACATTGTTGACATTCAGAATCCATATTATCTGCAAAAAATAATATGTTTAATGACTATACAGTTGAAACACGGGAGTTTCTATTTGCACACACCCATTTCCCTCTTTACACATCTTTTTCAATAAATAATTGGTTCGGAAGTAGAATTCCGAAAATAAACAATTGGTTCGAAAGTAGCATTTCGAAAATAAACAACTTGTTCGGAAGTAGAGTTCAGAATTTTTTTTATTTTTTTGACATTCAACTTCCGAATGCGTTTATTTAATGTCTATAATAGTAATTTCACTTGAAAATAAAATTATAATAAAAATAATTTTTATTAAATGTGTGTAAAAAAGGGAATGGGGATGTGGAAATATAAGCTCCCTTCAAACAACAATATACAACAGAAGGGGGGGAAAAAAAAAACCTATTCGGAAGTTCACAACCGAAAATACATATTCTGTTCGGAAGTTGAAATCCGAAACACAAACATAATTTCGGAAGTTGAGTGTTGTCCAAATTCAAAATTTTCAGAAGTTGACTATCGAAACAATGAAACATTTTCGGAAATCTACTGATGAAATTATTGATTATTTTCGGATTTCTATGTTCGAACCAATTGTTATCTTTCAGAAAACTAGTTCCGAACGACGATTACAAATGAAAAACTCTACATTACAAATGAAAAAACTCTACAACAGAACATGGGGTATGCTAGCCGTTGGGAGCTATTTGGCAAATGAAAAAAATTAAAGATTGGTGAAAAAAGTTACCCCAACTATGTGAAGCAGGGAGCTATTTGCATCGTTGGGAGAGCAATGTGAGAGATGCAGTGCAACTTCAATGGGTGTATTTGCACCTTTGGGAAAGCAATGTGAGAGATGCAGCTTCAATGGGTGTGCACTATCGGGAGAGTTGGGTTTGAGGGGGTGTGTGTGTGTGTGTGTGTGTGTGTGTGTGTGTGTGAGGCTACATATGGAATCAAATGTGTGTACAGTGAGTAAAAGAATTAGGAATGATTTTTTTTTTGGTGTGTGTAGTGAGAAGGATGTGCAAAGAGGGTATTTGGTGTCTGTAGATAGAAGCTCGCTCTCCTATACAGCACATTTAATCTCAAGGCACACCATTACTCAAGGCACACCTTTAATAATTTAATAAATAAGAAATTTATTCAATCTATACTACAATTTTTCATCTTTACTCTTACTTACACACTCCGTATACAATTTTCCATCTTTACTCTAACTCACTCACACACCCCACCCAAAATCTTCAATCTTCCATTTCCTTAAAATTTTTTATTACATCTTTATCCTTCAATTACTTAATCCCAGTCACTTGATTGCTTGAGTAAATAACTCATCCCACTTAACTCTATTTAAAGCTATACCCTTCTTGAGACCAAGGCAATCATATCATGTCTTAAATCAATATCAATACCCATTATACTTTCATTTGATTTTCATAAATCAAATCCTTTTTTCTTTATCATCTTTCTTTATGATCGTATTCTCTATCAAATCAATGGTAAGGTTTGCAACTAGGCTTAACCCTCCTAGCACCCTCAATTAACAAGGACCAACAGTTGCCAATGGGTAATGTCACTTTGAAAATTTGAAAGTAGCTCGACAGTTGGGGGTAGAGTTAGGGTTAAGGTTATGGTTATGGTTAGAGAAGATGAGGATATTTTGAGAATATTTGAAAATTGATAGTGTGTATTGAGTGAAAAATAAAAAAATCAAAATTGGGTGTGGTGTGTAATGAGTAATTGGTGTGTATTACGTAAAGAGTGTATTATAACATTTGTCCTTTGTGGTCATTTTATATTAGGTTAATATTAGGGGTGGGCGCGGGTCGGTTGCGGCCACAGAACCTCCAATCCGTCATCCGTCCGCCAGATTGGCGGATTGGAGAAAATTAATCCGCATCCGTCCACCAATCCGGCGGATGTGGATTGAGCGGATTGGCGGTTTGGCGGATGGATGTGAATCGGTTTGGCGGTTTGAAATTTTATAAATTTTCAACATAGTTCAACTTGTGCACTTCCTCAAAAAAAAAAAAGAAAAAAATAAAGTATTACAGTCAATGACTTAAAAAAGTATTACAATTACTGTATGCCTCATCCAAAGAAAGAAGTTTGAAATTTTAGAATATCACAATCACTACATGTCTCATCCACATATTATAATCGCAGCATGTCTCATCCACATAAAGTATTACAATATGTGATTCTTAAAATATAAAAACAATTCAAATCACTAAAACCATGAACAAAGTAATAGTAGAGATTGTATGTCTTTGTATTGTTACATTTATATATGTTTTTGAAAATAAAAACCAACTAGCATATATCATATTTTCTATTTATTACTTTTAGAGTTAGATTTAAAAACCAAAAAATATAGATAAATAATACGTTTATTTTTTTCAATTCAAAAAATATATTCAAGTTGAAAACTTTTTTTCAACAGAACATTTGAACTCTTTTTCAATTGAAAACATAAACTAAATATTTAAATAAATTGAAAACACAAAATCTTATAAATTACTAAGGGTGCTTGTGGTTTGGCGATTTGGTTGTGGTCAAAGGAACCTCAAATCTGCCATCCGTCAGCCAAATTGGCGGATTGGAAAAAATCAATCTGCAACCGTTCGCTCGTCATCACGCATCCGTCCAAAATACGGCGGATTGGTTAGGTTCGGTCGGTTTTGATGGATCGGTATATCTGCTGCTCACCCCTAGTTAATATTATAATAAAAAATAAACTAATTAATAGTGTGCTTTGAGATAAAAGGTGGTGCGTAAACAGAGGCACCCTATTTCATGGGGAAAGCATATGTTATGGTTGCATACATATGCTGCTCATCAAATTCGTATAGTTTTATCATAATTTTTTTAATATTAATTAATAAAATCATAAATTAATGTTGAAACAAAAAAATTCAAAATTATATCATCTATATAAAAAAAAAAGAAGTTAATACTGTAGGAGTATTCAAAATTATTTATTTAATTTTTTTTAAACATAATTATGTTAATTTTTTTTATTAACATAACTCACATCTCTAATACAAATCTAAATTCTATATATATTTTTATGACATGACATTTTTTACTGAATTTTCCCCCCCTAATTTTAAACATATATTTGCTTTAGGAAAATTGAAAAAAACAACTTAAAATATGAAGGATCAAAGTTAATAATAATAATAATAATAATAATAATAAAATTGAAAAAAACAACTTAAAATATGAAGGATCAAAGTTAATAATAATAATAATAATAATAATAATAATAATAATAATAATAATAATAATAATAAAATAAAAATAAAAAAAAAACTTCATTTGTCAAAGTGGGAAAATAGCCAAACCTTTTAGTGAAGTGAAATTGTATTTGCACACCACACATTATTTTAGTACACACTATTTATATTATTTGAATTGAACAAAATCGATTGTTTGGATATCAACTGTTAAATAAAAATTAATTATTGTTGAAATATTAATTTTTTATTTAGAAACTGATATTCAAATGTGTATTAAAAAAAAAAAGGTGTGCTGTGCAAATGGGATGACCTTTTGTGCTCTTTACGTCTAAACGCCCAAAAAACACTTCACATTGATTTATCCTCCACTACTGGTGAATGGTTGTTCATTGTTACTCGACCTTAATTGTTCCCCAATTTTTTTTTTTTTAACAAGTGCAGCCATGTCTGTGCGTGTGCAATATTTCAGATCAATGACAGTTTCCAATACCCCTTCATCTTCTTTCTCATCTGCCTTTTGGATTCTGCAATATTAATAAATCCACATTATTGAAACTAATAATTACAATCCTCTCCTCTCCTCTCCTCTCTCTCTTTGAGACCATCCCTACCTATAAATTCATTCCTTTCCTTGTACTTTTCTTGATCATCTGTGTCTCTCTTTACATATCTCTTCCTCTCTTTAGCAAGAAAGCAAGCAAACATAAGATGGGCGTGGCTGTGAAATGCATGATAGTTTTCTTGGTTTTTTCAATGACACGTTTGATGGAAAATGCAAGTGCAGGTAGGGAGCTGCATCCTCTTATGAAACCAGGGTTCAACCTCACAGCGAGACTGGAAACCGATGGAGGTGTGGTTGATTGCTGGAATGCGCTGACAGAGATTAAATCATGCTCGAATGAGATTGTAGTTTATTTTGTAAACGGCACCACAGATATCGGTCCACCATGTTGCAAAGCCATTAGTATGATCACTCACCATTGCTGGGCTTCCATGTTGACTGCACTTGGTTTCACACCCGACGAAACCAACATTCTACAAGGTTACTGTGACGCATCCTCGTCTTCTCCATCCTCCTCCACCTCTTCCTCTGCCCCTGCTGCTACTCCCTCGGTCCAACCTCCAGCTTCCACTCATGACTTCATGTTGATATAGTTTTCAAAAAATAACAGTAATGTTGGACTGTTTTACCATAGTTGGGTGATTGCTATGAGTAGACTACTTAATTTTCATCTGTCTCAGCTTTAGTTTTATTTTGGTTGGTGGAGTTTTCCATCATCTGGGTATTTGCTGTTCTCTTGCACCTTGTTATGGGTGAATATATATATATATATATATGAATGGTTTGCGGATCTTGTGTTCAATGGTGATGATATTCTTATAGTTGAAGTTTTGATTTTGTCACTTTAAAATAAAATGAAATGTTATATAAATTAACAAATTTTACAAATTAATTGCATAACATATCAATTAATAAGAAAAACTTATATGATTTTAAGATTTGTTAGTTCTTATAATATCTTCTTTTTTTTTTTTAAACCAAAGACTAATCAAGACATATGCAACTATTGCATTATTATTGTGATTAATTATGTATAAAAGTTCTATAAACATATCATCTTCCTATATATATATATATAATGGTTGTCACTAGTTTGTTTATGCCATTGGATGATTGTATATCAATAGAAGAAGTAGTTAGATCACAAATTATATGTTTTTTAATATTAGAAGACACATGATTGAAATGGGAGACATTTATAAAGCAATACCACAATCGCCTTTTGGTTTATTCTCAATGTAGGATTTCATAGACTTATAAAACTATTAAAACAACTTATGAATATTTTATTTATACTAAATTGAAAATCAACAAAATTGAACTGTAGTATGTGATCGGTTTCAATCCTCAACCAACTAAATTGAATGGTTTGATTCAGTGTTAAAATTTTCTTTCATCTCAATTGAACCAAATCAAACCACTTACAACCCTAGTGGACAGAGAAAAATATAACAACACTAGAGGCAAAAAATTGTAATTTAAAATGGGAAACAATAAACACTTCCATTGTCACCTAACTGCAGAAGTCAGCAAACAGGAAAAACAAAATAGAACAGGGCCTAAAACAGGGCCTACACTGTAGGGCCAGCTCTATAAGTGTACAAGAGAACCAACTATATATTTGTGAGACATTTGTGTCCATTTTATGTTTAGTCCTTCGCGTTCTTAACATGGTTGATTTCATTTTCATCATTGCATCCCGTGTCTGCAAATTACAAATGTTGTTTTTACTTTTGAATGGTGTACACTTACGAAATGGTGCTCCATGTCACAAGTTAATGCATATTGTTCAGTTGGGTCTATATCATATGTTGGGAGCACAAGTGATATTAGAGCCATGTTGTGTTGCTATGGGTTTGAGTCACAAGCGTCTCATCATGAGCGAGGGATTGTGGGATACACAATGCCATTTATGCTATAATAATATGAATGAATTGATTAGCAGTGTTGAAGAATAATAACACTTTTAAAATAATTTTTATTTATTTTTTGTCAAAAATTAATTCCAATACAATTTTTTTTGACTCCTAGGAAAAAGCCTCTAAATTTTTTTTTAAAAAAAAAAAATTCTGAAAAAGCTTGAGAGTGAAGAAGTAGAGAGGCATCGTTGAATATTGGGTTTGCTATGGGTATTACGGGCTACTTAGTTAAGCCATGCTTTACAAAGTTGTGGGCTATTTCCTACAATCAGCAGAATTGATTCTGGAAAAATATGTTTTGAATATCAACTAAACATTTATTTATTTATTTATTTAGTTTCATAAAAATGTTTTAGATAAAAGAGTATTTTCTATTGCAAAATATTTCTAAATATTTTAGGGTAATGACTATCTTTCTAGTTTTATCAATCCACATCTACACTTTTTGAATTAAAAAGAAAAAAGGAAGAAGATATGGTGGTGGTGTTGAAGCTTGAGAATATCTGGTCAAACAACTAAACAGCAATGTTGGTATAACAGAGCCTTCTTTGTTCATCAGGCATAACAGGTAACACAACAGGGCCATAATAACACAATGCTACGCTAAAAGTGTAGTATAAAGAAAAGTATAGTATGAAGCAGTTTCACAAACTCTTCATCTAACAACTAGGCAATTAAAACTCTCTAGCCTCCTAATCCCTTAGGTTTTCCTACTTCATAAGCAGGATTATATTCCATTGAGCAATGCTAGAGAACCCAATAGGTCCCATACTCATGTGACCGTTTGGTAAAAATTTTGATAATTTTATTGGGATTTATGTCATTTTTCTATTCCATTGTGTGATCTCTTCATCTCCCCTTGCATAAACGTGCCATCCCCCACCCCCCATATATATATATCAAACACCTCCTCCTCGGACATCCTTCACTGCCCACGTCTTTGTAATCTGTGTGTGAAATGGCTTACCCTTTCAAACTCCTCCCGACAATTCTGCTAGCATGGTTCATTGCGTCCGCAGTCATGGCACTACCACTACCACTGGACTCCAAATTAACCCCCGCTCCTGATGGCTGGGCTAAAACTAGACAACAACCACAACCACAACAACCAAGAGGGCTCGGCTCCAGTCCTTTTGAGGGACTCCTGCGCTGGTGAGGTAGCTCATTTCTTTTCTACCTAAAGGGTGAGACATATCTGGTTCACACTTGTTGCAAGTGGAATCCAAACCATCGAACACTAGTGCTGGAGGCCATGCTTGGCTCCCTTGGCTTCACCTCCCAAGAAGATGATATCCTCCGTGGCTACTGCGTCTCATCCAGCCCACCTCCTCCAAACACCAAAGTCGATCCCGGCATCAGTCAACACCTCACACAACTCCATCTCCAACACCCCCATACTACAATTTAAGTACCAATCTCAGTGACCAAAATCCCAATAAAATTTGACAGTGTCTTTCTTACTCTCAGAATTCTACTGTCCAACGTTTGAATGAAGTCATTGGCAAAAAAGTCGTTTACCAAGTTCTGCAGTAGATTTTGGTATGTACGCGTCTGCTTTGTTGCTTTGTCAATGTCAGAAAGGCTAAAAGAGTAACATGTTATCAAATGAGTCTCTGTTTCATCACACTTACCCAAAGTGTTTTGAGAAGGTGGTAAAAAATTGATTTTTGACTTTTTATCAGGCTTTTTACGAAGTTTTTTAGCTTTTTGAAAAGTGATTTAGGAAGTTGATAAAAAGCTAATTTTTGACTTTTTAGTTTAATATTTGTTTATGGTGTCAAATCAAATTAAAATAACCAAAATACCCTTACCCAACATAAGAAATTTATTTTTTTATTTTTTTGTCATAAGTCCCAATTTGTAATTTCACACTTGTGTTTTTATTACTTCCCAAACCAATTTTGTTACGTTTTTGCCACTTGCGTTTTTGGCCAAAGATAAAAAACGTGGCTTTTTATTTTGGTTCCCAAAACGGTACAATTTTTTGGTTAAAAAGATCAAAACTACTATTATCATGCACCAGTGATGTCTGCTAAGCCTCCTAATTGGCAATGGCATGAGATTTTCTGTCAAATCAAAACACATTTTTATGCTGTGTTTGGTTAGAAAATTTGAAAAATAATTTGAAAAGATAAAGAAAAAATGTAAGTAAAATATGAATAAAATATACATACATTTCAGATAACTTTTCCTTTTCATTTTCTAAATCCCTTCCCAAATTCCAACCAAACACAACATAGAGTCCGTTTGATATAACAAATGAGAGAAGAAAAAAAAAATGATTGCAAAAACAGTTGCATTTCTCTTAACTTTTCTTTTTATTTCTCACCAAATCATCACATCCAAACAGACAGTTAGTTAATCATATGATCATGTATTGAAATTTTGGTGTATGTGTGTGTGGAGATTTTCATCCGTTGTGTGTGGCTGAAAACTGAACAAAGAGAACTGGGGACAGATTCTTGGCACTCTCTCCACACTCAACTCGTGTAAATTTGAAATTTGCGATGTGTAGCATTGGATATATGTGACATCATATACAACAGTATGATCAGATCGTCTAGGGTTTTTTAGACTGCAAATGGTTAAAACTGTTTGCTACTTACGACATACAACAACATGTACTATATCCCTAATTAACAAGAAAAACCGTTTAATCTCCTCAACAAGAGCATTAATTGGAATTACAGATCATATAGGTCTTCGCCGGTGAAACAAGCAAATTCAACCGAACCGAAACGAAAACCATCTGGACTGTGGCAAATCGTTAACCTCCTCCTCCTCCTCCTCCTCATCATCAGCAAGTCTCAAAACCGAGAAAAGCTCAAATGGTCGCGTTTCCGGTGAATTTGATTCTGATGGCGTTTCCGCTGAATTCGATCAGAAGATACGGAGACGGAGACGGGTACGGCAGAGAGAATGCCGTCGAGTCCGTGAACAGCGAATGTTCTGGAACCGTGGCAGAGATCAGGATAGGAGATTCGAACTCCATCAACGGTGGTGACGAGGGGGGCGTTGTTTGTAGGAAGCTTGTTGTGGGTACGGATCAAGAGGCTGTGGCGAGGGAGGAGAGTGTGGAGGTAGGGGGCAGCGAAAGAGGAGAGATTGCGGAGGTCGGAAATGGAGAGGCGGAGAGGGGAGACATGGTAGCGAAGGGACTGGACGTAGTGGGAGGCGTCGGAGGAGATGTCGAGGGAGAAGAGGTTGGAGTCGGGAGGGACGAAGAAGGTGAAGGATTTGCCGGCCAGGATTTGGTACCGGAGGTCCGACGTAGCAATGGCGTTGCCGAAGAGAGTGTAGCCGTTCATTCTCATGGCTCTTGTCACGTTCTCCAGTTCCCCTTCTGTGATTATCTCGCCGATGTCAACGGTGGCCGAGGCGGAAACGAAGAAGAAGAAGAACGACAGCGCGATGACTATGAGAATTTGGCCAGTGAATTTGGTCGGAGATTGTTGGGATTGGTTCTCCATTGTGAGATAGAGAGAGAGAGTTTTTGGCGCCTTTTTGAGTTCTTGATCTTGATGCTAGTAGTAGGTGTCTGCACATTCTACTTTCGCAGATTTATGTGCTTTTGTGGCCGTGCGATCAGTTTTTGAGTTGTAAATTGGGCGGGAGAGTGGGTATAAATTGGGCTTGGGCCTTATCTGAGACTCTGATGGATGATTTCGTAGAGA